CTGCAGAACAGTCGGTTTAGTGTAAACCTCGCAGAAACATTGCAGAGCGGGGGCCTCCCGTCGAGGAGCTGCTTGGGCTCAGCTGCAGTGCTGAGGCTCCTGCCAGAGCAAAGCCAAGCGTGAGAACCAGGCAAAGCCTCAGCTTTGCTGGGGCCTCCAGAGGGTGAAGTCCTGTGAGATGTTTTCAGTGCTGATGGGCTGTCAGAGCTCCCGTGTGACAGGAGCTTCAGCGGTGTCGTTGGCCTGTGGTTTTGCCCTTGTTGTGGGATGTCTGCTCCCATCCTGAAAGCTCCTGCCCTGGTCCCTTCCAGATTGCACTTGCCAGCTTCTACGAGGACGGGGGAGACGAGGACATCCTGACCCTGCCCCAGCCCACCCCCAGCTCTCTGTCCAGAGGCACTGCAGCCAGGTGAGGAGGGAGCTTTGGCTCTAGCCCAGCTGTTTGTAAACCCCACAGGGAAAACTTGAGGTCAAAATGTAAATGCTTAAAGCGTGGGGGTAGGGGAATTTTGGGGAGGAATATCTCTGCCTTGAGCTCTGCTCCACCTCCTGTGGCACTCTAGAAACCGTGCAGTCCTCAGCAGTTCCACCTGGCAGAGGTGACTCTGCCAGCCCACAGGACAAGTTGCCTCCTTGCTCAGGAAAGATTTGATTTGTCTTTTGAGGTTCAGAGAGAGTCACTGGGTGACGTTTTCTTTTGAGCAGGAAAAAGGGGGAAGGATGCTCTGATTTTGTGTGACAGCTGACCTGGTTGAACTGATCATTTTCCAGGGAGAAGTGAAGCTGTCCCAAGCAGATGAGCTCTGCTGTGTGGGCTGGAGGGGCAGCCCCCCGTGGTGGCCAGAGCCACCCTCAGAGGCTGCCCGGTGGGAGGGGTGGCTCAGAGCTGAGGAGCAGAACAGGCTCTGGCTGGTGGGGTGGGGGTGTCCTGAGGCTGACGGGCTCCTCCCATCCCCTCCTGCAGCGACCACAGAGTAACGTCCTTCAGAGACCTGGTTCACTCACAGGAGGATGACGACGAAGAGGAAGAGGGACAGCGGTGAGTGTTCAGTCCAGGCCTCAAATCCTGCGTGGGTGGCCCTGCCCCTTGGTCTGCCCCTTGCCTGTGGGTGTTTCTGTGAGGGGTTTGGTGTGGGAAGCCTGGTCGGGCACGTGCTCGGCGTGGCTGTGTGAGCACTGTTCCATCACCCAGTTGTGCTGCTGAGAGAGGGCCTGAGGTGGGATGTGGAGTCCCACAGGCAGGAACAGAAAAAAGCCCAGATGGTGATTTGGTTGTGCAGGGATTGTTTTCCTTTCTGCTTGGGTTTTTTTGGGGGGGGTTTGGTTTGGTTTTCTGTTTTGAAGTGCTGCTTAAGGATAATGTGGTGGAGGTGGGGAGAACAGTGTAGGTCCCTGCTCCAGTGGGAGCATGGCCTGTGATGTCAGCAGTGAAACACCCTGAAGGTTGACAGGTGAGGTAGCTGCAGTGGCACTAGGGCATCTCACAGTGCCTCAGTCTGGGTAGACTGTGTGGTCTTCTGCAGCCAGGTGTGAGCTTGCTCCAGGGCTGTGTTTCAAGCCATCTGGAAGCTAATGAACCCAACCTTCCAAAGTGCTTAATTGCAGCTTCACTGTGCATTCATTGCTTGCAGTTCAGATCCATTTGTGTGTGGTGATTTTTTGGTGCCTCCAAAATACCGTTAGGTGTTACCCACCTTCCTCCCTCTGGTGGGCCAGAGACTTGCTGGAGGTCTGTCCAGCTTGGTGTTAAAGGTGGCACTAGCATTTGTAGAACTATAGAGATGTTCTGGTTGGAAGAGACCTTTCAGGTTGAGTCCAGCTGTTAACTCAGCCCTGCCAGGTCCCCACTGCCCCGTGTCCCTCACACCACATCTCCACGGCTTGGAAACCCCTCCAGGGGTGGGGACTCCACCACTGCCCTGGGCAGCCTGGCACAGCCCTGGACAACCCTCCAGGGCAAGAAATTGTTCCTCAGGGACAACCTCAACCTCCCCTGGGGCAACTTGAGGCCCTTTCCTTATGACCCATCCCAGCATTTGAAACTGAGCCCTGTCAGTGTGGACTCTTGCTCGCTCCAAGAGAGCTGCTCTCCCTCTGTTGTGATTGATCAGAGGATAATTTCACAGTGACCAGCACAAAAAGCAGCTCTGCAGCACAGGAACTTGTAAGTGGCTGCAGTGTGGGATGCACTGGCAGCAGCTGGTATCTGTAGATCCAAGCTGTGCAGAGCAGGAGTGGATCCTGGCGGGAAGGTGCCAGGTCTGGGTGCCCGGGGCTGACCCACACCCCTGTGCCTCCCCTCAGGTTCTACGCCGGCGGCTCCGAGAGGAGCGGGCAGCAGATCGTGGGGCCCCCGAGGAAGAAGAGCCCCAACGAGCTGGTGGAGGATCTGTTCAAGGGTGCCAAGGAGCACGGGGCGGTGGCGGTGGACCGGGCGGCCAAGGGCGGGGGCGAGAGCAGCAAGCCTAAGGTGAGGGGTGAGGAGATCTTCCTGCTGCTCCCCGTTTCAGTGCAGGCCCCCACCCTGGCAGCTGGCTGCTCCTCTGGAGGCCTGGAGTCCTCTTAACAGGGCAGCCAAGTGTGGGCTCATGGAATCCCAGCAGGGTGGGGTGGGAAGGGACCTCTGGGGATCATCACATCCGACCCCCCTGCTCCAGCAGCTCACCCCCAGCAGGGTGCCCAGGGTCACAGCCAGGAGGGTTTGGGATCTCTCAAGAGCA